TATATATATATATATATATATATATATATATATATATATATATATATATATATATATATATATATATATATATATATATATATATATACACAACACTTCTGGCTGGTTCTTGAATCTGATTGGCTGATAGGCATGCTATATTTTGACAGTAACATCACACAAAGGCCTCTTCACCTCTGTGTATTACTCCGCCCACATACAGCCAGCAACAAGGTGAGACGCTACAGTTTGACAAATATTACTGCTGTTGGACAACAAAATGTACTTTTGAGGCATTTTATTGGACAATGTAGTTGTTTAGATTGCAACTATGCAGTTTATTTGTAAGAATAGTGCCTATTTTAAAATAGTTACACTTTCTGAGAGAGCTCGTTGTGGCCATAAGCCTGACATAGTGTAGCAGACCAAAGATGGTTGACATTGTCTATCCACAAGATGGTGACAGAACTGCATAATAAGCCCTTGCTTAGATTTAAACTGTTGTGTGTTTTCTTGAGAAAATCGGAAAGTGTCACGGTTTTTAAGGTGGACCGGATAGAGTCAATGAGAAGCTGCGAATAAGAAGCTGGATTCAGCCTCGTCCCTCCTTATCGCAAACACAACAGCAGTCTGGTGGCTGCGCTGCTTTTTTTCACGGTTAATTATTGTGAAATTGTAATGGTCACTTGATGTTTGATATGCATTATGTATAAACGTCCCCTTTAGGAGGACTTCTTCTGTGGTTGTTTTATCTTTAAGATGTAAGCACGCATGCATGGGAGCTCAGTTCAGTTCTGGCGAGCTCTGAGGAGAAGTGTGTGATGGTCGCTCTGCCTCTGTATTATTCTTTTATTTCAATAATGTAACGTTTTATTTTGAGATGGATGTTTGAGTGGCTTTTCCTTTTTCCTACTGATTGTCGTTGACTGGCATGTATGTAGTCGACAGCACTTGGGAGGAACGCATAAAGGCCAATATGAAGAGCGAAATAGATTCCTTAAAGTCTCTGGGAAAACGCTGAGACACCTGCCACCCGTCACAATACCACAGGCAAGAGATAAATACTGTAGACTAATAGGCTGTAGGGAGATATCTCTGTAGACTGATGGAATTTCATGTCACATTCAGCCTTATAATCTTACTATGTGAGCAAAATCAGCTGGTTTGTCTTCTCTAGACATCTTCAGAGAGTCATTCAACCACTAGCTCTACAGTGACGTTGGTGAATCAGTAACGGCTTCTGTTATAGATGTCATAGATGTGAATGAATGGCGGAAGAAAGTAGTTCCTAATACAAATGTGTTTTAGACTCTCTGTGTTTGATTTTCATATTTATATACACAATTATGCCGTCAAACTGTTATATAAATGTAATATCACACTTGTAGCAGTGCTATATGGCTGTATATCAGCACTGGTGGGACGATAACGCACTTGTGCCAAGTCTGCCAACGCACGCCTTCCACCAGTACTGATATACAGCCATATCGCACTGCTACTTGTGTGATATTGCTATATATATATATATAGGCCGAGGCAGTGGTGCAGTAGGTAGTGCTGTCGCCTCACAGCAAGAAGGTCGCTGGTTCGAGCCTCGGCTCAGTTGCCGTTTCTGTGTGGAGTTTGCATGTTCTCCCTGCGTTCGCGTGGGTTTCCTCCGGGTGCTCCGGTTTCCCCCACAGTCCAAACACATGTGGTACAGGTGAATTGGGTTGGCTTAATTGTCCGTAGTGTACGAGTGTGTGTGTGAATGTGTTTGTGGATGTTTTCCAGAGATGGGTTGCGGCTGGAAGGGCATCCGCTGCGTAAAAACTCACTGGATAAGTTGGCGGTTCATTCCGCTGTGGCGACCCCGGATTAATAAAGGGACTAAGCCGACAAGAAAATGAATGAATGAATTAATATTTCAAATTAAAAATGTTCGTTCAACACTGGGGGTCAAGTGTCAAATAAATGTCACTGGAAAATTAACCCAGCATTGGGTTTGATTTACGACAACCTGCCTTTTTTTGTGGTTACGTATTGTTTTAAATGCTGGGTTGTACTGTATTTAACCCAAAGTTGGGTCAAATGTAGACAAACCCAGACTATAAGTCAAAAAGTGTCAAAAATATATATTTATTAATAATGCAACATTGTGTTTGGATTACGACAACACAATGTGTTTTGGAAATATTTACACTTAAAAAAATCTGGGTCATTGTAAGCAAATGTTGGGTTAAATGTGGACAAACTCAACCGTTAGGTTAAAAAGGGTCATCTTAAATGTAGTTTAAAAATACTGCTCATCATTGGGTTTGGCCTATAACAACAAACCTGCATTTTAGTCAGTGGGTTTACACTAAATAAATGGGTCACTGTAGACCAATGTTGGGTCAAATGCACACAAGCCCAAGCATTTAGTTCATTTTTTTTTCAATTAAATTAAAATGATATATTTTAACCCACCTGTTGGGTTTGTCCACATTTGACTTTGGTTACAACAAGCCAGCATTTGTATAGAGTACCCTCAATCACTGCTGTCAGGAGCACAGAGTTTAGTCGTATTGTGCTGGTTGTGTCTTTTTTGATTGCTCAATGTCTGAAAGGTGACTTATAACTAATACTCTGCTATTTTTAAACTGACCCAGTGAGGTCTGACTGACGCATGACCAAGACTCAGCTCATTAATATTAATTATGAATATGAATAGTGATTATGTGACTCGAGGTTATAAGCAAGGGCATGAGCTTTCAGACTCGAAGAGGAATAATAAAAGAACAATAAATAAACAGATAACAAAAAACTAACTTGCATTTAAGAAAATTAATGTAGATTTTGTGCTGTAAAATATTTATTAGTTAATTTAACACGCAAACGGAATTTGTAAGGAACAAATTTACAGCAGCTGTGGAATAATATTTATATTTATTGAAAAGCTTTAAATAAGTTAGCACACACAGCCAGAAATCAGTCTTCAGAAATAAAGACTTGCTTTTTTCCCTCCTATATTTAAACATATATATTTCAAATTATACAAAAATGGGCAAAAAAATTGCTAGAGTGATGTGTGAGTGTGTGTACAGGTATATATATATAGTGTTGTGTATGTAAGGGGGTATCTGGATTTTTTTATCTATTTATATATATATATATATATATATATATATATATATATATATATATATATTTATATATATATATATACACACACACACACACACACACACATATATATATATACATATACACACACACACACA